CCCTCTTTCCTTCACCTACAACTTTCTAAGGTTTGGTAACATTTATATTTCACTATTGAATGCCATAATATACTAAAATATAGTTTATATTAAATTTTAAACCTTCCTTAGCCCCCATTCATGACTATATTTCAATAACACAACATTGACCCTTCTGAATCTCCGAATTCACATTTACTCATTCGACCACATTCATCTCACAAGATTATTGCAAATCCACCTTAAGAATGTGCGCTATATTATCAAAGTCATTAAAAATATATATTGTTTTCAATATTTTTTGTAGACTTTACTTGATAAAAAGTGTGACTGTTCATTTACACCAGTTAATTATATCAATGTAAACAATTGATTACAAATTTCGTCTAATCACTTGAGTTCTAAGAAATTACCATTTTTAGGCTATGTCATTCCAAGTTCAATGATAAATATTACTGACACATATTGATTTCATAATTTACCTCACTCCCATTCCTTAAAATCCTCAAACATATCAATATTAGCACTAAATTTAAGTGATTGAAAGGCTAATAAGTGATATTTAATAAATTAATTTTATTCTGTTAGAGTTATAATTAATCAAATTATTTCGAAACATTCACAAGTACTTAACTTATTTATAATTAATTTTTCTTATATTGGTTATTTAAGATAAATAATTTAAAGCCCAAACCTTTGATATATGTAATGTCAGAAGTATTGTTCGTTACCTTCTTCATGCCACAGTTTGTTTCCAAAATGTTGTATTTGGCCTTTTCGACAGTACATTTCGAACTTACAGGTACTTCAGATTTCCCTCCATAAGTGTATTTTCAAGGATATTCGTTAGAGTATTTGAGTTTGTTTATTTCTAGCTATGCACAAAGCTACACAGTGGCTTATATGGGTATCGAAAAACCGGCTATTAGCGTTATAAGCCTTCAAACTTACCCTTGTGCCACTGGAGGAGGGGGAGACTACTGAAAATGTGTTAAGTTAGTCCGGTTTTCTCTCTTAAGGTTTTTTACTTTACATATTGTTTTTTCTCTTAGCACTTCTGATGAAAATCTAATGTTTTTGCTATTATGTTAAACGCCAATAAATAACGAAACAACAAAACGAACTAATCTTAACAGCTACGATAAGAAAATCGTTCTAGAATGCAGATTTATTGTTCGCGTTTCTCTTAATTAGTCCATCACAGATTTCAAATGAGACATGTGTTCCAGATCTATCATGTGTCTACTACTAATCATTAATTAGGATGTCTTTTGTTTAATGGCATGGCAAGGTGATTAGGGCTCGACTTGCAATTTGAGGGTCGCGGGTTTTCGAATCCCCGTCACTGAATATGCTTGCCTTTTCAGCCGTCGCAGCGTTATAATGTGACGGTCAATCCCACTATTCTTTGGTAAAAGAGCAGTCTAAGAGATGACTGTGAGTGGTTTTGATATTAGATGTATTCTCTCTAGTCTATCACTGCTAAATTAGGAACGGCCAACGCACCTTTGAGCGAAATTCAAAACAAACCAACTTTTGTTTAGAAACTGAACTCTTCAGCTGGGCTGGACCATGGCAGCTAAAGGTTTATCGTATATGAAAACCAATGAAGCAATAGAATCAATAGTCTGATATTCGGGATAAGAATCACATTAGAATGAAGGTACAAACACGAAATGGTATTTTACACATCATTTGTTTTTGTTTCTGTAAAGGAAGAACGTGGAAAAACGTCTAGAGTAATTTCTAATCGAAGTATTACACCTATTGAATTACTGTTTTTAAACGTTAAACGTTTATTAGAATCTACTTGTTCAATTCGAGATAGATTTAGCAGAATCCAGCTCTTCAACTTGAGATAGATCCATTCGACTAATGTTGAATTACAGGAGGAGATTTTAAATTTTTAACTTTTTCCTCACTTATTCTACTTGAAAACATCTTTACACGTGAAAATGACTGATCCTTTGTATGTGCATGAGCACCTCTTTCACGATTCAACAAATGCATTGTTTTTATGAACAGTTAAAGACGCAGCTGTCTAACGAAGACGATATCCCAAAGCTACTGCGTTAGACTTAAACTAAAAGTTAAGAAAGTAATTACAAGAATACGATATATTTCTAAGATTTAATTTTTAATAAAAAAAAGCATCAGCAACTATAAAAAATATTAATTCCAAATGTTATTTTTTTCTTCGTTAATTTGTTTGTTTGTAATTAAGCACAAAGCTACACAATGGGCTAGCTGTACTCTGCCCATCACGAGTATCGAAACCCGGATTCTAGCGTTGTAAGTCCGCAGACATACCGCTGTGCCACTGGGGGACCTCTTCGTTAAAACAACCACGTTGTTTCCTATGTACGACCAGCAAGCTACATCAAAAAACGATAGAAATATGGCTGCTAATATGTAATAAATCTATAACAATAGCCTGTCACTTGTTTGTATTTTGGATCACGGTATGTCATAGAAACAATTAATTAACGTACCCATTTTAAATGACTTGGAAAAATGTGTAATGTCTAAAGATAAAGTGTAAGTTCAAGGTATTTTTATCTTTTATTTTCAACACAAAAAACATAAATACAATTATACAATAATAATTCATTTATCAAGACAAACTATTTTAACTGATTTTTTCAGACCAGACTAAACTTTAAAAAATATTGATTCGAAAACTATTTTCAAATGAGTTGTAAAAGTAAAGACGTTGCACAAACTTTGAATATAGTTGAACGGGTATGTTTGTATGCACTGTACACATACACATACAAATCCAAAAGACTACAGATAATGCTATAATATTTACGCATCTGAAAAGTCAATGAGGCTAGATATGAGCACATTATAGCCAGCGAACTATTTTTTTTTTTTTTTTGGTTTTGGTTCTCACAAGGACGGCCTAATGCGACAGTTTTTTGTTGTTTTTTTCAGATAACTAATGATCTTGAAGCAGCTGTAAGCAATTGGATTAATAACAACACAATGGAATTTTACGGAAATGGTAAAATGAAACTGACGAAACGATGAGGAAATGTGCCATACTTAACGGGTACTAAATTTATATGTGAGAATTGGTTGCCCAAATAAACAACACCATTGGTGTAGGTTTGTTGTTTGTAAACTCATTAGACTGGATTACAGAAAAGAAAAGTTTGTTACTCTCTCAATATTCCTTATAGTTCTTAAACGAATGCGTTGAACCAGTTTGACCCCAAATGAACTGCACAGATTCACAACTACACGGATTTATCAGATTGATCGGGCACGAAACACACAAAGGTTTGGTCGATACGCTTTTTTTACATTCTCTCTTGTCCTACTTCTATCGTGGAGTTTGAGTTACAATTTAGAATGCCAAGAGTGTTAGTAAAAACAAAGGTTTTAAACCACAATCAACACTGGTTACAATATTTTTGATCATGTAGAGGTACAAATAGAAAAATACAGAGGTGCAATTTAATTATATTCATATATGCAAAATTATGTTAATCAGTAGGAGTTTGTCACTTAATGTCTCGATGTTCTAATAAAAACTAATGAAACGTCATTTCCTTTTCTTTCAACAGGCAGTTGTAGCCCATTAAAGTTCTCAAACCTATTATGTTTATACTGCCTAAAGTTCTACTGAAACTACTTTTAACTTAAAATTGCTGTTGTTGTTTGTTCTTTTTTACCATGACCCCGTTTTAACACTTGAAAATATAAGTATTTTCTATCATTAGAGGATTGTTTGTCTGTTATTTGTTGTTTTTTTTTTAGCTCAAAGCTAAACAATAGGCTATCTGCGCTCTGACCACTGCGGGGAAACGAGCCCCGAATTTTTTGTAGCACCGCTGACTCACAGAGGAATATTATTATAGGACGTTCAAAAATGAAATTAATCGTGTACAGCCACATAGAAAGCTGTAAAATCTTCTTTGTAAACACTACTGAGATTTTCAACATGTCTTCCACTGGTTATAACAAATTCACTGTTTTAGGTTAGTGGTATTTTAGTGTCATTGTGACCACAAGTAATGTCATTGGTAAAAAAACAAATTCCTTAGAATTTTTCTTGCAAAGGTGATTGTTATGTTGTTGTTTTAGCGTAACGCTACACAATGGGTTTCTGAACTCTATGTGGAATCGAATCCCGGTTTTTAGCGTTGTAAGTCCGTAACTTACCCCCCGACTCACCGGGGGACTATAATGTTTAACAAGACAGTGAAAACGTTGAGCGTAAAAGAAATGTCTGAAAAAACAAATTAAGAATCCATCTTCTTAATCTTTCAGTCAGTGTTTGATTGTTTATTGATGATATTATACCTTTATATCTCAATACCAGTCTGGATTACCATCAGAAATCCGCCAGTTCCAGAGTAGTGGTATATCTTTTTCATCGAAAACTTTTCTTTTACTTGGAGATTTCATTGGTTGTATAAAATCGTCTGAGGACCTTGGTAAAAGGATTTTGAATACACAATGGTGGACACCACCAATTTCAGAGTTTTTTTTTTTTCAAACAGGTTGGTACACATTATTTACCACCTATCTTGACAATATGGGCTTAAGATCGATGTTTCGTTATATTGTCCTTCATCAGATCTTCTAAATTCTTATGCAATCATAATTATTTTAAGTTTTTAGTCTATTAGATAGTCATAAATCTAGAAGTTTTCTTACTAGACCCATCAGTTACTTGTACTTTTCACAGTTATCCTTAAGACTTCGTAGAGTTAATATCCAGTAAATATCCTTGATAGTTTGAGTGCACTTACTGGATATTAATATCATCAAACATCGCTGTGTTTTCATTGACTAGTCTCACACACACAATCAATCATTACTTTCCTTGTTTTTGTCACAGAACATGTAATTATCCTTAAATTTGTAAACACCTTTGAATAGTTATATTTAATATTTTCGCACATGTTATAACACGTCTGTTTTCTGAAAAACGTTGATTTACTGGTAGAACTGTTGAGTATAGACCTAGGTACTTCGTCTTATTGTTTATTTGTTTAGTAATACTGATTCTTCAACTGTTCCTAATCATTGATGTTTACATTTTTACAACTAAAACTATTTTGATGATTGCGATATTTACGGCACCGATGCCATTTTTCGAAGTTAAAATATTTCCCCTGGCGACGTTCGAAACTTCACCCCCGTACTTCTGTAACCTAACAACTCTCGAGATGTAATTTATTAGATACTTGAATTTTACAGTTCCTGGTTGGCATGTGACGAATGTTCACAACAATCCTTGACAAGACGTTCCTTGACAGTTTGATGAACACTTTTAAACGCTCGTGGAGTCATATTCATTCTTTTTCTGTTGACGATGACATCTATCTGGGTATCTCATGGGGGAATTTGGACCGTTCCTGTGGACATTTGTGGTAACAAGAACAGTTTTATTTCGGATTCCGTTTTGGTTGTGAGCACAAGAGCTGCTGTATGCTGTTTCCGAGTCTACTGGGTTACTTCCTGACTGGTTAGCTGCGACACAGCTAGAGAAATCTTTCTTTCTGTAGACAATTTCAATAAACCCCTTTCGGACTCGAACATTGAAATACCCGTAGAATATGGGATTCAGTGCACTATTGAGTAGTGCTAGCGTTTCTGCACCTATTATGATGGGTTTTGGTATATTAATGGTATAATTGCTGTAAATGCGAATGTTGTGGACAATGAAATACGGTGTCCAACAAATTACAAAGCTAGCTATAATACATATGGTTAACTTCAATGTCTTGATCTTAGCTCTTGGGAACGTGGAAGCGGCGTTTACAGACCGTCGGAGATAGATGGCGCTGGAATTCTTATCTTGTTCTCGTCCCGCCAACCATACACAGCGAAGAACGTTCACGTAACAGTAACTGATGCACGTGGTGGGTACAATAAGAATATAGGCCGTGAGCCACGTGAAGTAAAGCTTTCTTTGCCACATTGCAGTGTACCCTTTACTTGCACATTCGTAACGTACTCGCCCACTTGTTGTAATACCGCTTTCCACCTGGTAAAATATAATATATACATATATATGAATATAAAGATATATATAAACTGTTTAAACTTTTGATTTCATGGTTTTACACACTACTGCCAGAAGACAGTACTCTAATTAATTTTCTCAATTTTCAAAAGCCTGCCCACAATGATATTTTGGAAAAAATAATGAAATAAAGAGTAAAATTAGGCACACTCGATTAAATGATTGTTTGTTTGTAGTTATGCACAAAGCTACACAATGGGCTATCTGTGCTCTGCCCACCACGGGTATCGAAACCCTGTTTCTAGCGTTGTAAGTCCGCAGGCATACAGCTGTGCCACTGGGGCTGATTAAATGATGGGTCGTTGTTGTTTGTTGTCAAGCACAAAGCTACACAATGGGCTATCTGTGCTCTTCCCACCACGGGTATCGAAACCCTGTTTCTAGCGTTGTAAGTCCGCAGGCATACAGCTGTGCCACTGGGGCTGATTAAATGATG